GATATGTTCCAAGACCCCAGTGGATCCCTGAAACCACAGACAGTACTGAACCCAATTGCCATTAATTGGAACACATTTCTGTTCATGTCTTCCACCCACAAATTTAATGCTTTTCCAGTCTTAACCAAGCACTTATGCACTGTGACTGTAACTTTTGCAGTTTGAGGTGTGACAGCAAAACTAGCACAAATTTCTTTTTCCTTCTTCACAATTTCACAGATGATTTGTTCTTATAGATCTTAGCAATCTCAGCATATAATTTATTTTCTTTCATTACTAAGCCAAGAACTTTCACCTTTTCACTTAAAGGGGACATTTTATAACTTCTCTTTGGCATATCTAAATTGCCAGCTCTTGTGCTTTGTGGCCATTATTAAAATAAGGGTTACTTGAACACAAGCACTGAAATAACACAATCGATCTGATAATGAAGATGACTACTGAGTGACTAATGGGCACATAGTGCAGACTACTGGATATATCTTTATTCCTATATACGTTTTTTAGCTTTGTTCTGGAATTCAGTCAAGTGGCTTGGAAACAGTTTGATCCTTTTGTCTGTTATATTTAAGATTTGTTTATTAAGACTACTAGATTAATACTCAGTTTCTGAAAAATTTTTCTGTATTACTGTGACAATTATTCTATACTACTACTACCACTATGTGTACTCTATCCAATTCCCAATCATGACATTTTCCATTCTAGCTTGTGGAAAATGTCACCTCTAACTCTTTTAGCGTAGGTCAGTCTTGGCCTAGCCTCAAGTAGTTTCCTCAAGGCATGCACTAATCAGTGCACAGATGCTCAAAGGTGACCTCTGCATACCTCTAGTGTTTTCTCTCTGTAAGGCAATCCTTCCTTCCTCTAGTAATCTGTTTTTCTGACTTGGTCTATCTGGGCTCACAGCTCCATTTCCTCAACTTGGATAGTCAACAAGCTGTTTCCCAACCTTGGACTACCGCTTGGAAACTCTCTCAAAGCATTAAGAGGGGACAACTGTAGGACTCATCTCATTTGTTTCCCATCTCACAGGGATCACTGTTCCTTGTTGTATGATGTCCCATGTCTTGAAATCATTGTTTCATATGCAGTTTGTTGGTTGTTTGTTTTAGGCAGCAAGGTAATGGGGCCACTATCTTGTCTGGAAGCGTAATACTTGAGCTACTTCTTATGAAAAAGAAAGGCTGACTCGGGGTTAAAACAAGAGCACAGAGGACAGAGCAAAGAGCCACAGAATTTTCTCATGAAGCAGGACAGATGACCTAATCAAGAAACTGGCAATATATGCTTAATTTTAAAATTTCTAGTGAACAGTGACTGCTATAGTCCTCCTATTTTCTTACTTTTCCATCAGTGTGCCTACTGCACTTAATGCATGCTTCTCTTACTATTGTGTTTGGTGAGTGAGTGTGTGGAGGGGGTGCAGATCTTATGTCTCTTAAGTTCACAGATCTTCAGACTGAGTGGAAGTACACCTGAGTAGTTTCATCTCCATCTGGGTCTGCTTCAGAAGAGACCTAAACCTCAAGCCTAAGCCTAATGACTGACTGGGATGAAATTTTCTTGAGAGGATCTGAATATATTTTCATGTGGGAGAAATATAAATTTGTGGCCAGAGGGTAAACTGGTGTTTACACTCCTTCTCTCAAGAGGTAGAATTATGACCTCACTTCTTGAAAATACATGGGCTCTGTGACAACTCTGACACACAGAAAAAAATGACACTGTGACACTATCTGGGCCCAGGTTCCAAGATGGCACCTTCTACCTCTTATGTCTTGGAACTGTCCTTTGGAATGGTTGTTCTGGCAGAAGCCAAAGCCATATAGCAAGTCCAACAGCCACGAAATTGCTCTATATGGAGAAAATCACACTAGCTAGTCCCTAGCTGCTCCAGTCATTCTAGCCCAGGCACCAGACATGTGAGTGAAGGAGCCATGTTGAATATTCTACACCAGCATATACCTTATGGAAAACAGAGGCCCTAGACATACAGCTTCAGTCATCTCCAGATGTTTAAACCACTCTAGCTGAGGCCCCAGACACCATGAAGCAGAGGCAAATCATCCAGCTGAGCTTATCAAATGCCTCACCTATAAAACACTAGATATAATAAAATGGCTATTACCATAAGCCACTAAGGCAGGGAATTTTTATTCACTAATGTATCCCTTACATGCAGAACAGTGACTGACATATTAAAGATACTGAAGTGTTTGTTGTAAGCCAACTTAAAAATGGTATTTCTAGATCACCTAGAAAGTGAGTGCAATGGATAAAAAATAAGGTTTGAAAGTAGGCATTTCAACATTTAGAGGCTGAGGAGATGAAGAGGAACCAGCAAAGGAGACTGAGAGAATACAACTAGTAAGAAAGAAGAATAAATAAGAAAGTGTTCTAGAATCAAAGTAAAGAAAGTGTTTCATAAAGGGGAAATGATCAAGTATGTCACGGATATGCTGATAGATAAAGACAAACACTGAGCATTAATTCTGGATTTGCTAGTGTGGAAAGTCACCAATGACCTTGACCTGAAGAGTTTAGTAGAATAATGAGGATGAAGTTCGACTTCATCCTCACTGCACTGAGAACAGAATTAGAATGGAGGAAGATAAAACAGACTTTTAAAAAATGAGTTTCCTGTCAACTGCAGAAAGCACTAGAGGGGAGATGCAATGCCAAGATTTGCTGTTGATATATTATAAAAATATTTTTGCATGCTAATAAGAATAATCCTGCAAAGAAGAGAAAAAAATAATAATACAGAGAGAAGAGGCAATTTAGTTGTTGAGAAGGGATAAAATCCAGCACATAAATGAGTGTATTGGTCCTAGATAAGAACAACAAAAAAAATTTATCTGGAATTAGGAAGAGAAAAAGTAGAGTTCATAGGTATGCATGCAGGTATACTGACAAGACGTGCTACAAATTTCCTTCTATTTGCTTCTATTTTCGCAGTAAAATAGGAAGCATGGTCATAATCTCAGAATGAAGAGAGGGGAGATGTGAAATAGTCCTTTAGCACTGTACTCAAATATACTTGGCACATATCTCACTTGAGATCTTATCACATTGTGCTGTAATTATTTACGTACATATCTCTTTTTCCACTACATTATAAAATAATTTAAGGTATAGGAAGTACTTTTCATTTTTGCATTACCAGCACATAACACAGTGCTCTACAAACAAATGTTTGTTAATTTGTTGATTGAATAAATTAGTGTTACTGATTCAAGATTTGGGAGCAAAGTCGAGTTCTAAAATAGCAATCAATAAAATACTGTCAAACATCTACTTGATATATATGCCTCAGTGTACATTGCAAATATTCAAAAACTGAAAACATTAAACTTCAACTTATTTATGAAATTAAAAAAAAAAACTACAGACAGAACACAAACTTTTTTTTTTAACATATTAAGGAAGTAATGAGATACTAACATAAAACGTGGAGACATGGATGAAGCCGGAAACCATCATTCTCAGCAAACTATCACAAGAACAGAATATCAAACAACACATGTTCTCACTAATAAGGTGGAGCTGAACAAGGAGAACACATGGACACAGGGAGGGGAACATCACACACCGGGGCCCGTCAGGGGGTGGGGGGGCTAGGGGAGGGATAGCATTAGGCGAAATACCTCATCTAGATGACGGGTTAATGGGTGCAGCAAACGACCATGGCATGTGTACACCTATTTAACAAAACTGCACGTTCTGCACATGTACCCCAGAACTTAAAATATAATTTTAAAAAGAGAAAAAACAATGTGTAGAGCTGTAAGTTACACTGGAGTATACCTCACACTGAATCTAGGTATCCAACATTTCATACAAAAAGGTTCAGCTTCCAAAAAGCCAATAGCTGAAAAAAAAGTTACTACAACAATAATTTCCATTAAAAAAAAAAAAAGTAGGAGCACTCAAAACATAAAAACCCTATACTTACAAAAAATGACTATGGTGTGAGTTGAGAACAAATAAAAATTACGTTCCTTGGATCAAGTAAGGGACAACAGAATGCCCCATACTCTCATCCAGGCATTCACACCTGCAATCCCAGCACTTTGGGAAGCTGAAACAGGAGGATAGCTTGAGACTAGGAGTTCAAGGCTACAGTGAGCTATGATTGGGCCACTGCACTCCAGCATGGGTGACAAAGGCAGACTCTGTCTCAATAAATAAAAACAAAACAAAAAGATAAAAACTCTCATTACTTAAGATTTTAAGACAATCAGTACAACTCAAAACCAATGATTTAGCTACAAATTTTAACTTTCATGCAAACCCCAAACAACCCTAAAATGTGTTATTTGGAAGTTACTTTTAGAACCATCAAAATTCAAAGATACTATTTAAAAATCCAGAAATAAAAACAAATTTGAATCATACATATTTTCAGTATCATTTAATTCTTTAATACTTTGGGGACATTTCCTTTTCCTTTAACAAAAAGAATAGAAGTGATACTATATACTGCTAGTAGAAAATTAAGAGCTTTTCTATAAAATCCTATGAAATTAAAATTAAATCAAGTCTTATTTTTAAAAATGCAAAAGAAGCCAGATAATAGACTTAACGACCATGAAGCAGACCCACTTCCCTCTGAACCAAGGATTTCCTATGCTTTCTAGATATCCCTTCAGAAAAGGCCTTCTCTAAATTAACTGAACAATTTGGAATATCAAGAAGTAGGTAGAGAGCAGGAATGTGAGCAGATCATCGAATACATGTTTTTACTCCATGATGACTAAAATGAAGTCCACAGAAGCAGGTGAGGAAAAAAATAACACAATCTCCTGATGTGCAGCTGTCACAGACCCAGAGCAGTCTGCTGCTGTGACTCTCTGCCTGCGACCTGAGGGTCAGTTGCTTCATTAGATGCAGTGGAAATAAAACTGAACGGGATCTGCAGAGAAATTTTAAAATGGAAGGTACACCTCAACAGCTTTTACTTTTGGTGAAGTCATATGGCTTCCACCATTGAGCAAACTGCAGTGCTTTTTTCCTCTGATCCTCAAAGCTTTCTCGGATGCCTTTCCTCCAAAGTCTTGGTTCTATATCCAGCATCCCACCTATGATTTCCTTTTAAAGAAAGAGAAAAGCACAAACACAAGCATGTATAAATAACGAAAACATAAACTACTTCTGTTTATTCTGCTATAAAATATAACAAGTAGTTCTCCATGACAATGTTCAAGCATAAATACTAGTTGAAGTTAAAAAAATGTTTTCAATTAATTCTAACTATGCAAACCGTGTGATTCTAAGAGTCCAAGATAGCCGCACCTCCTATCAAGCAATTTGTCCATTTTGTTGCTTATTAGCACATCTACTAGATGGTAACAAAGGGGAGGCAGAAAAAGTGAAATTTAATTAATTTGATCTCTATTAGAGGCTCCAGTAAACAATTCTGCAAAAATGTTAATCAACTTGTAGCAATTATTAACTTTATTGCTCAACTGCAGGTGAAACCCAGGCTAATGTTCTCTCTCTGCTACCAAGTATATTTATAAATTAGTTTCTTCCACTATTAGCAGGAAATCTTTTTTTCAGGAAACAAAATCCTATTGTAATACTAGTCTAAGTAAACCTATCAATAGAATTAAAAATTATATATTACTTTCATTTAAAAAATCACATTCTCAAGTCCTGTAATAAATGGCTTTTTGGTTATCTGCGTATTATTTTTGATTTCCTTCATGATCCTCTTCCTGTGCTGTTAGCTATAGAAATAAATCAAATTTAGTCATGTGAGTATCCATGTAAGAAAGACATGGGGGAGACTCCTAATGCTTACATGCTTAGAGGGAGGGCAGTATGGTAACAAAGAAAAAAAAACACAAAAAACAAAACAACAACAACAAAAAACAGACTAAGGATCAAATTCTGCGTAGTCAGTCTAGCTCCACTGGACTGTGTGGTGAGATCCTGCACAAAGCACATAATCTTTCAGATGCAGGTTCTTCATCTTACTTGGGGACCTACTATGCAGAAGCAAATGGCATTTATGTTGTAGGGGATACAGAGATAACACACTGTTGTCTTCAGACAGAATAGAATCTGGAGCTGTGGTGGGAGCCGTAATAATCCAGCTGTGCAACAGACTGTCTCATAAAGTAGAAGGTAAGTGCCAAAGCAGACCATTTGGAGACTCAAAAACAAAACAAAACAAAACAAAACTCTAGTTGTTGGATAGACCAAGAGATGCTTCATGGAAAAGGGAACCTCCTATCATCAGGGAAGGGAAATAAAGGGGTCAACAGAGATAGTAGAAAAGAGAAATGGGGCAAATTTAGATTTAGTTCGAGAGCTTCTCAGCATTGGTCCAAATAAACAATGTAGTTTAAGAAAGACTAGCTTATAAAAGTTAACCTAAAATTGTCTATAAAATACCAAGGTTTGTCTTATCTGTACCATATAAGCTTGACTCTTGTTCTGCTATCAAAGCAGCTGTTAATGGAAAGACTGCCCCCATAATCTCTTCTAGCTCTCTGAACTGCTTCAGCAGCAGACTGCAGGGAGGTCTCGAGCCCACAGGCTATTTCTTAAAAAGCAAATTTTGAGGAAAATGGCTCAGTGACACAATGCTGACAGAGAAAATTTACTTTTAACTCCAAAACTGTATCATATAAACCAGAATGCATGAATAATATGTGAAGAGAGGGCAATCTCCCAGTTTAATATATACAACTTTTAAAAACTGGATATTTTAACTTTCTTTTTTCTTGGACCAAGTTTTTTTGTTTGTTTCGTTTTTGTTTTTAATAAATCCAGCCATAGAGTTTCTAGTTATAAAGCTCTATTGAGTAACAACAGGATTTTTCAGAACAGTGGGAAAACATTTCCTTCTAGTTAAAAAAAAATTCTGAACACCTCTCAAACAACTTTCTGTAACACGTTGCAACAGTTCAAAGATGCATGTAACTTTGTTACGCTGGTTAAACCATTAAGATCAAGAGCATTAAAAAGTGTTGAGTCAAACCTCTGGAGTTGAGAGTCCTCTTGAGACATTTCTACTCATTGCAGAAGATGGTCCTCTGCAGGAGATGAAAGTGGGGAGCAGGGTGGAAAACAGGGAATCCCAAGCAGAGCTCATTAAGGCCCCTCTTTTTTAGAGGGCCTGACTACATAGGGATAAATACGAGTGGAAAGGCCGGATCTACACTAGATGAAAGGCTCACTTCTAAAACTATCATTGCCCAGATTACTTTTAACTGTTTCAGTTACTGCATTAACTTTACTCCACTTCCTGATAGCAAGTAATAAAATTCTGAGATACTTTGTATACTTTAATTTAAAGACTATACACCACAGAATATAAGAAGGCATCTGTGGCAGTGGATCAAAAGATCTGTATGCTAATATCTGCCCAGAAACTATCAGCATAAAATGAGTCATGTGTTCTTCTTGGACTACACCTTGCTTAATTATAAACGAAAACGAGAAAATTTGTTCTCTAGTTCAACCTTGACTATATGCACCCCTAGTTCTGTCACTTACGAGCGCATTACCCTGGGCAAGTTACCTAATCTCTCTGTAGCTCAGTTTCTTCATTTGTAAAGTGAAATTTATAATAATATCCATACAATAGGATTATTGTGAGCATTAAATGAATGCTTAGCTCAGTAGCTGGCACAGTGTAAGCCCTTAATAAGTTTTAGCAATTATCATCATTCTCAACACAAGCCTGGCTGCCTCCAAAAACAACCATTATAGTAATTGTTGACACTGTCAAGAAATGTTTGGTTCCAAAGTAACATTCCTAGCTCTGTTATATACATTCCGGGATATTTTTATTTATAGTTGCTAGGTATTCTCTCTCTAAAAACTGGGTGGAGCAGTACTCACCAACTTCTTTGTATACTGTGCCCAAAGTTTTTATTTCCCTTCAAAAGAAAAATGTTACCAAATTGCTAACTCTGGGATTTTATCAAATTTGTGAGCATACCTTTCCAAAGTAATGAGGGAATTTGTGCTGATCTTCAATGACATGGGCAAACCCTCCGTGAAGGCCAAAATCCACAGAGAAGTAAGGTAACCCTCTGGGTACCTAAATAAACAGACAAATCACAAATGGAATGTAGTATGAAACCAGAAAGTTATATTTAATCCCTCCCTTCTTTGGAAGGACAGTAATCTTAAGCATTCCTCAAAACAAATGTATAAAACGAATTTCCAATTCTAGAGATATTTAAACAATGACCTAACTTTCTGAGTAAAATATCTCATTTTGGTAGCCTTTCAGTCAGATAGTTCATCATTATCTATGAATTATAATCAAATCCAACTATTTTGCTGTCCTTGGGGAAAACCAAGGGAGAAAACTACACTTTAAAAAAATGCAAATGCAGAATAACTTCCCTTAGACTACACAAATAGAGAAGAAGTATATGCCTTCTTGTATTCTACTCACAATGCAGAACAGCAAGAGGGACCTGGCCACATACTTATAGCTCTCCCTGAATCTTTACAGTTACATATTTATCAAAGATAAATTATATAAAAACAATCATAATTTTTTATGAGCTAGTGAAGTGGACACAGCAACACTTAGTTTACCAGTCTTATTTCAAAATATCTCCAGGATTAAATCCCTACTGTCTTTTTCTCTCCCTTCCTTACTCCTTCCTTCCCTCCCTCTCTTTCTCTCTCTATACATACACACACACACACACACACACACACACACACACACATTTTAAACTACCTCATGACTAGGAAAAGCCATAAATTCTTGTTTTCTCTATCAAGTAAGTAAATTCCGTGTCCTTGCAAGTTTTGCTTCAAAGCCCAAACTTTGCCACTAGAAATTATCCAAGTAGGTCAATTTATAGCAACATTTCTCCTCTCTAATCCCCTCATATAGTCTGCACTTACTTATTTGAGCACTGAATCACACGGTCCTACTTAACTATACAAATTGCATATTGTGTCCTTTAAAAGGTACAACGTGGGAGGGCACAGTATGGTATAGTGGAGAGTGGTCACCTTGAAATCTAAGGCAACTAAAATTAGGGCTTATAAAGTTGTTCATGTTATTTAAAAAGCACAAGTAAAAATCTGTTCACGAAATAGTATATAACATTAAATACAGAGAAATGGGTTACCATTTGTGGCTTTAATTTTTCTATATTTCCACATATTTAAATATAATAATGATGTTATGACCTTGACTATTAGGAAAAAGCAAAATAAATGAGACAGACAAGGCTCCAATTGCAACTCTGATTCTTGTAAGTGTGTTATCCCAGACAAGTTAATTAACATCTCTGAGTCTCATGAAAAACATGAAGAAATGCCCTAGTCCCCAATTTGCCAAGAATATACTGCCTTAGGTGACAAAAGGGACTTTGCAGATATTATTAAGGATCTTGAAATGAGGGGATTTTCCTGGGTTTTCCAAATAGGCCCAATGTAATCATAAGGACACTAAAAAGAGAGAGATAGAAAGGTCAGAGTCAGAGAAAGATGGAAGATACTACACTCTTGGCTTTGAAGAGGAAGGAAGGGGCCATAAGCCATGGAATGCATGTGGCTTCTAAGAGCTAGAAAAGGCAAATGAAAGGATTCTTTCCAGAGCCTCCAGAAGGAATGCAGGCCTGCTGACACCTTGATTTTAGCCCAAAGAAACCCACTTTGCACTTGCAATCACCAGATTTTTAAGATAAATCTGTGGTGTTTTAGGCCAATATGTTTGTGGTAATTTCTTACAGCAGCAATAGGAAACCAATATACATGCCAAAGCTCAACAACCTATGGCATATATGCCAAGATGGCACAATGAACACACTACTACTTTCACACAAAAGGCAACTCCTGCCACAAGGTTCTCTATTCTCTTCCTGCAGGCTGCAAAAGGTACAACGTGCTGCTTGCTAGAAGAGTTGTTAGCAGGCATTGCAAAGGCTCTAGTATCAAAGCGTATGTACATTTAGCACTTTTTCTGCACTGGCCAGTCAGAGGAAATGCATTTGGAACTCTGGCACCACTCTTTAAAGGCACTGACAGAATTAAAGCAAAACTTTTTATTTATGGTAGAAAAATAGAAGTATTTGGATTTTTCACTTTTATTCCAGATGTTACTCCTGACTTCTTATAAGTATCCTTGAGTTTGAAGGCCCCTGGTAAACCCACATTTTTGTGAGAAGTGCTTTCCTTAGTTTACAACATCAATTTCTAAATGTTGGATGTTTTTTCTATTGCTATAGTTATCACAGAATTAAACTTAAAATACCATTTTTTAAAGTTCAGAAAGAATTCTCATGCAATCTCACTAAAACAGCCTTGTGAAAAATGACTGCTTTTCTTGACAGTTACTTATTATCATGCAATTCCTCTGCATTGAACACTCAGATCTGTTTTCCCTGTTTATTTCCATGAACTTCACATTACACTGAAAAGAAAGCAAATGGGCCAGAGAAAATGAACAAAATGGGCAGATAAAGAGAAGCTTACCTTCATATAGCAAAGAAAAACATAAATTTGTAAAAATCAGAATGGATTACATATACATGAATCTCTATTATAAGCCAAGAATTTACACAGTGAAAAAAAATCACCCCACCCTCAAGGATGCAGGCAAAATATTTCATGAAATTATTAAGGACGTAAAGTTTTCAAAAAAAGTACAATAAGTTTCTTTCAGAAGTAATAATAATGTTAAAATAATTCAGTATTGTTCACTTCGTGTTCAAAAATATTTTCATTAATTTTTGAAAAGATAATGGAAAGTTTATTAACTAAAAAGTGACCTCCTTTGGAATAATTCTTATATACTCTTCTCATTCTCACTTCCATCCATATAATTATAAAATCTTAAAGCTAAAGGGGGCTGGGCACAGTGGCTCACACCTGTATTCCCGGCACTTTGGGAGGGGGAGGCGGGCAGATCACGAGGTCAGGAGTTCGAATTCAGCCTGACCAACATGGTGAAACCCCATCTCTACGAAAAATACAGAAATTAGCCAGGCGTGGTGGTGCACACCTGTACTCCCAGCTACTCGGGAGGCAGAGGCAAGAGAATCGCTTGAACCCAGGAGGTGGAGTGATCATCACTGGGCGACAGAGTGAGACTCCATCTAAAAAAAAAAAAGGTAAAAGGGCTCTCAAGAGGTTATCTGGTTCATCCTTCATTGACAGTGAACCTCAGCTAGTCTCAGATATAATACTAAGTGATGCCTTAATAAAGGCAATTGCTGCTATCTTTGAAATGCTTTAAAGTTGAATATACAACTGCCATTTTTACAGGATCTGTGTTTCCTATGTTTCATAATGTTAAGTTAAAATATTAAGACCTCCTGGCTACTTAATACAGGCACTCACTGAGCTTTTAAAAAAGAAACAAGTAATAAGTTACTAGATAGTTCACCAGTAAGAAAATGTATATACAATATAGAAAATGAGGACTAATACATCAAAATTTTCTCCTTTGAAATATTTTCAACCGTCATTAAAATTGTGTTGTGAAAGAATACTTAACAGCAAGAGAAATTATAACATGAGAAGTGAAAAAACTAGCACAAAAGATGTATGTACATTAAATGCCTTTTTCTATAGGCACATAAAGGAGGGAAGTAAACAGTACATTTAGAGTTTCTGTTTTGTTCTACGTTGTTTTTTAATATGTTGTCTGGCCCAATTCACCAGCAGAGAAGAGAAAATGATTATAGACAATGTTTTACCTCTAAAATAAAACCATGTATCTTGAATAATGTAATAAAATGGAATCTTTTGACTGGAATATAATAAGTGTAATAAGGAATCCTATTAGTTATGTGACATGTAACAGGAGTTTGGCTTTCCAAAAGAAGAAATGGGGGAGAAGTATTCCAGAGACACCTATTAGAATAGGGACTGGCAAACTTTTTCTGAAAAGGACCACATAATAAAATATTTTAGGCTTTGCAGGTCATACGTTCTTTGCAGGGACTACTCAAATCTGCCCTTGTACCATGAAAGCAGCCATAAGCAATACATAAGCAAATGAGTGTGGTTGTGTTCCAATAAAAGTGCATTTACACAAACAGGCAGAAGACTGGGTTTAGAGTGCAGGGCTTGAGTTGCCAACCCCAGGACTAGACTATAAGCTCCATCAAGTCTGGAATCTTTCTGTTTTGTTCCACTATGTACCAAAAGCATCTTGAACAGTGCCTGGTAAATATTAGGCACACAATAAATATTTGTAGAATAAACTACTTTTTGAACAGAAAAACAAAAAGGAACTACACTTCTATTAAATCTCTATTCCATTTAATTTGTATTTCTAGAAAAGAGAAAAAATTATTACCAGACATGCTCAACTTATGTGTAACTTGTACATAAAAGTTGATCTACAAATAAAGATTAAACTATGAGGTATGATTAGGCAAGTCTCCAAAAGAACCCACAATCTAACTCAGCTACTATTTTATAGTTTTATAGGAACATAATAGTGAACCTTTGTATAAGAAAAAGAAAATGAGTTCCAAATTTAAAATGGAACCTCTAGGAAAATTTTTCTCTCAGTATAATTGCAGAACACTATATTCCAAGAAGGCCCTTCTCACCACTTGTTCCACAGGGGCTAGGAAGTTCATCACAGGAGTTCTCAATGGCAGATTCTAATAGCTGCCATAGCCAATTACAGGGACTACAGTGGCAGAAGGCCAAAGGAATGTTTCAGGAAGAAACATTCATGTGAACAAATAAAAACCCTCTACAAACAAATAAGCATTTTCTAGACCAGGTAGGATAAAAATAACTTCTTCATTTGTGGAATTAGTAATTTTGCCTTCAGTCACTCAACCAAATGGTCCCTTTCTCAACCAAGACATGGAAATTAATAAACATCCTGAGCACTAGGGTAATTTCTTTTACCAGGAAAAAAAATGATACTTACAGACTTTCTGATATCTTTGGAAGAGAGATCTATCAACTTCTTGTTCATGGACCACTCTTCATCAGATTCCATTATGGCTTTCTAAGAAATATCCATTTGTTAAGTGAAAAAAGAACATGTAAGTAAATAAAAAGAGACAGTTTATAACAAGTAATACAACAAATTAATTATGGGGTATATTATACATAGTAGGCCATTATTCTGAACTGATTAAAGCTTTAATTTTAGATATTTAAAATACGAACTTCTTAAATTTTTAAAATCCTACCGTTAGCCAAAGATAATACTCTTTTACTCATTAACTGTTGTACTAACGAGCTCAACTTTACATGACAATCCTTAATAAGACCAATCAATTTAATATGAAACATAATTTGTGACCATAAATTTCAATCTATAGCACCACATTCATAAAGATTACTAAATAAATTCATTTAGTTTTACTGCTCTTCTTCCAAAAGGCAACAGAGTAATTTACATGCTTTCTGGCAACCAAGGACTTGAACTATTTCTGCTCATATAATGAAGAAGTAAAAATACAGGAAAAAATGTGCTCTAGAAAATAAAGCCAATTTTTTAAAAGTGCAGGAAGCATAAGTCTATTTCAAACAGATAGCAACTTAACTTTGATTGCATGCAACTCAACGCTTTTATTTACCCCTCACACATTTTAAGTTTTTGATGTCAGAATTTATATAACTACAATTTGTCAATTTGTAATTTAAAAAACAAGAATTTTTTTAAATGCAGGGAGAAAATACATATACATGGAATAAGACTTCCTATGCTAAGCAATGTAACTACTATTTATGGTAAATAAATATTTAAAAGAAAAGCCAGAGTGATAAATATAAAATAACCTCATGTTTTTACAGTACTGTTATTAACAAAGCAAATTTTAAAGATAAAATAATAATAAGTTCAATTTAAATAGAACAGATACAGTGTTATTCCCTATTTAAAAGGTACCAGTTGCTTGGCTTGACACTGTAATATATAGCACATTCAATATAAAAGCGTCTTCAATGATCACATAAAAGATTTAGTGTAGGCCAGGTGTGGTAGCTCATGCCTGTAATCCCAGCACTTTGGGAGGCTGAGGCGGGCAGATCACGAGATCAAGAGATCGAGATCATCCTGGCCAACACGGTGAAACCCCATCTCTACTAAAAATACAAAAATTAGTTGGGCGTAGTGGCGCATGCCTGTAGTCCCAGCTACTCAGGAGACTGAGGCAGGAGACTCACTTGAACCCGGGAGGCAGAAGTTGCAGTGAGCAAAGACCGGCCACTGCACTCCATCCTGGAGACACAGCGAGACTCTGTCTCAAAAAAAAAAAAAAAAGGTTTAGTGTGGTAAAGTGATACACCATTCTAAGAGATGACATTTCTGTCATCCCATATGAGCAAAAGTGGCTGCTCTATGTTAGGTCACATTCCTCAAATGACTCTAGTCACAATCATCTAGGACTCTACTGAGGAAGTACAAAATTAAGCACTCTGAAAAAAAAAGTATAATAATCTCTTTTCAACTAAGTTTGGTCAACACAGGACTGGCATGGGTCTTTGGGATTATCTGGCTTATTCTCTTATACTTTAATAGCATAACTTTTCACATCAAATAATCAGGTTGTCTTTAAAGATTTCTAGAAAGAAAGTAGAATTTTACCAATTCATAAATCTTAACAGATTTTATAATTCTTTTTCTTGGAACTTACAGTTCATATTAATAAATTTTATCATTCCATGCTGTCTAAACATTTTATATGCAATCTTCTTATACCAGCTCACAAAACACTACTTTCCTTTATCTTTGGACATGTTGCTATTTCATATATGGTTCTACATTTACACATCTATATTAGTCTATAAATTACAATGTATTCAGGTCAGGATCAAACACATGCTATTTTATAAAAGCTCTCTGAATACCGTAAATGACACTTCGTTGGTTATGAACTCTAGCCATTATCGTATGTCCAAAATTGCATATCATGGTTAGAAATTTTCCTTTTTACAAATAGCATGAAATATTAAATGCTAAAACTTACAGCAATAACTTGCCTCAGCATTGTAATGTGTACTATTTGTTGTTGTTATCTTTGGCTCTAGTGTATTTCAGTAATCAGTTTTCTAGAGTTGTGACTATAATTTTGACTTGAAAGTACCTCAAAGTAAAATAATGATTTCATCTGAGAAATGGGAAATTATTATAAGTTACCATTTGATAGTATATTCATACGCCTAAATAAGCATGCTTTTAAAAAGGTCAAAATCAAAAATTTCTTCTGAGAGAAATTTATACAGCAGAGTATTTTGTGCTTCCATTTCTTTCTTTCTTTTTTTTTTTTTTTGAGACAGGGTCTCGCTCTGTCGCCCAGGTTGGAGCACAGTGGTGTGATCACAGCTTACTGCAGCCTCCGCCTCCCAGGTTGAAGTGATTCTCCTGCCTCGGCCTCCCGAGTAGCTGGGATTACAGGTGCCCACCACCATGCCCAGTTAATTTTTGTATTTTTAGTGGAGATGGGGTTTTACCATGTTGGCCAGGCTGATCTTGAACTCCTGACCGCAGGTGATCTGCCCACCTCGGCTTCCCAAGTGAGGCACTGTGCCTGGCCTTTTTCTTTATATAAATTTTGATATAAGTATATAGGAGAAAAATACATTAATCAAGACAACAATATTTGTAAAATAGCACTGTAGCAAAAAATAAGCATATATGCAAAGACTACTTATAAATACCTTAAAATAGATGGGAGCCATGTCGCCCACTTCCTTGGGGAGAGGAATGCATTCATAAACCATGTGGTACTGTTTCTTCATGCCCATATTAGTTTCCAAAAAGATGCAGTCTAATCCTTTATCTTCAAACATCTTTACCAATGATTTTCTGAACATCTGAAACAAAAGAACTACGTAAAGAAAACACTCAAAGGTGATTCAAAATAACGCATTTTCAAGAGATTTGAAATATGAAAACTTTAATAAAAAAGTACAAATCCCTTTAAAATGAAAAATAAATAAATAGGAATATCTGAACTCTACAATGTTATAGTTGCTTTACTTTCTAAATCTACTATATAATTTCATATGTTTAAGCAAGATGTTTTTAAAAAACTGAAACCCACTATGTATATATTAGAAATAGTTTCAGTAAAATGAGAGAAAGAAGAGATAAAAATCAAATTTAGGTGGTAAAATATGAAGAACTGCCAGAACAATCATAGGAAAACATCCATAAGCCAAAAGAGGTGCTCTGAGCAGATGGGCATCCTTAAACTCAGAAATACATGAGAATTCACTCCCAATTGTTTTCCTATGCTCATAGCATCTGCATTTGTTGGTTCCCTATTTCTGCTGACCCATCACTAATAACCTTGCATATTCAGGTAGTCCTCTATTTTCACATATAATGAAGTCCTATAAAGTATATGAAAGCCAAATACACTAAAGTTGAAAATAGGGTTTTCTCTTCCCAAGGAACTAACCATTATTATACAACTATATACAACTATACATACACATATAATCAGTTGTCTTTGTGTGTGTTGTGTGTGTGTGTATTTCACACTCCTAGGCCTAAGGCGCAGCTGTTTGTAGAGGGTGGCTGAATGGAGCTGAGTGGTCCAGGATGTCTGCATGCATTCACATGACACCCCTTAAAATACAGGATGGAGCTAGGGATTGAAAGAAAGGGGAGCAGGCTGAAGGCTGGATGCCAGAGCCCAGTTCTGTCCACATCACCATGTCTTACTGTGAACCCCTCAAGGTGTCTAAGAATTCTGGATGGGCGCGGTGGGTAATCTCAGCACTCTGGGAGGCCGAGGTGGGTAGGTCACCTGAGATCAGGAGTTCAAGATCAAGGTGGCTAAGAATTCTAAGCTAAAGTTGGCCTTGTAAGATGTTATGAAAGTATATTCAAGTAGGAAGACAAAATGTATTTTATTTAGATTCGTCGGCTTGATTTATAACTTTTTAATATTTTGTTTAAACATTTTGTTTCGAGGTAATTACAGATCACATGTAGTTAAAAGAAATAATACAGAGAGATTCCATGTACCCTTTACTCAGTTTCCCCAAAGGTAACAGCTTATAAAACTATACTATAATATCACAACCAGGATATTGGCACTGATACAGTCAACATTGAGAGCAATTCCAACACCGTCCATAAAGATCTTGCCTGTTACCCTTTTATTTCCTCTTCTTTTATTTTTACAGATGTGGTTATGCTGTGTTGCCCAGGCTGAAGTACCAGTGCTATTCACAGGTGCAATCATAGCATACTACAACCTCATAATCAGGCTCAAGCAGTCGCCCCCCATTAGCCACCTGAGTAGCTGGGACTAAAGATGCATGCCATCATGGCCAGCTCCTGTTACCCTTTTACAGTCACAGTCATTCCACACCCTACCCAGTCCCCATTCCCCCTTCTTCTGCCTTCACCCTTAATGTGTTCCTGGTTTCTTTAATTCTGACATTTCAAGAATGTTACATAAATAGAACCATGTAATCTTTTGAGGTAGGCTTTTTTTTTCTTCAACTGTTAAATTTTAAGTTCAATGACACATGTGCAGGATGTGCATGTTTGTTACATAGGTAAACGTGTGCCATGGTGGTCTGCTGCACAGATCATCCCATTACCTAGGTATTAAGCCTAGTAACCATCAGCTATTCTTCCTAATGCTCTCCCTCCTCCCACCTCCCACCCACCGACAGGCTCCAGTGTGTGTTGTTCCTCACCACCATGTGTCCAGGTGTTCTCATCATTTAGCTCCCGTTTATAAGTGAGAACATGTGGTGTGTGGTTTTCTGTTCTGGCATAAGCTTGCTGAGGATAATGGCTTCCAACTCCATCCATGTCCCTGCAAAGGACATGATCTCATTTCTTTTTATGGCTGCATACTATTCCATGGTGTATATGTACCACATTTTTTTAATCCAATCTATCATTTATGGGCATTTAGGTTGATTCCATGTGTTTGCTATTGTGAATAGTGCTGCAATGAACATACGTGTGCATGTATCTTTATAACAGAATGAATTATATTCCTCTGGGTATACACCCAGTAATGGAATTGCTGGGTCAAATGGTATTTCTGCCTCTTTGAGGAACTGTCACACTGTTTTCCACAATGGTTGAACAAATTTACACTCCCACAAATAGTGTATAAGCATTCCTTTTTCTCTACAACCTCACCAGCATCTGGTTTTTTTTTTGACTTTTTAATAGTAGCCATCAGGCTTTTTTCAATCAGCATATTCTCTGGAGATCTACCCAGGTTGTTTCATGTATCAACAATTCATTCTTTTTCATTGCTGAGTGTATTCCTGAAATGGATGTACCCAGTATGTTTAACCATTCACCTTTACAGAATATCTGGGATATTTCCAGTTTTTAGTTATTACAAATAAAGCTGCTATGAATATTTGTGCACAGGTTTTTGGGGAAATATAACTCCATTTCTCTGGAATAAATGCTAAGAAGTGCAAGAGTTCAGTCCTATGATAGTTGCATATTTCATACTTTAAAAAACTGCCAAACTGTTTTCCAAAGTGGTCAGACTATTTTACATTTCTACCAACAACAGAAGAGCAATTCTGTTTCTCCATATCCTGGCCAGCATCTGGGGTTGTCAATGTGTTTTATTTGACATTTTGATAGGCCTAATTTATCACTGTGATTTTAATTTGTATTTTCCTAACAGCATTTTTTATATGCTTATTTGCCATCTATTAATATATATCCTCTTCGGCAAAATGTTTCTTCATGTCATTTATCCTTTTTTTTTTTTTTTTCTGAGATGGAGTCTCGCTCTGTCACCCAGGTTGGAGTGCAGTGGTGCGATCTCAACTCACTGCAGACTTTGCCTCCCAGGTTCAGGTGATTCTCTCACCTTGGCCCCCCGAATAGCTGGGATTACAGGCGTGCACCACCACACCCGGCTAATTTTTGTACTTTTAGTAGAGTCGAGGTTTCGCCATGTTGGCCAGGCTGGTCTCCAACTGCTGACCTGAGGTGATCCACCCGCCTCGAATTCCCAAAGTGCTGGGACTACAGGTGTGAGGCACCGTGCTCGGCCAATTTTCTAACTGGACTGTTTGTTTTCACTGTTTTGACATTCTAAATATAAAAATATTCTTTACATATTCTATATGCAAATCCATTATCAGGTATGTGGTTTGCAAATATTTTCTCCTAGTCTATAATTTGTCTTTTCATCTTCATATCAGAGTATTTTGCAGAACAAAAGTTTTTAATTTGACAAAGCTCAATTTATCAATTTTTGTTTCCATGGATTATACTTTTGGTGTCAAGTCAAAGAACTCTGTGTACCCAAGATCTTGACAATTTTATCTTGTTTTTTCCCCAAAAGTTTTATAGTTTTGCACTTTACCTGGAGTGCTGTGCTCCACTATACAATGGAGGGTTGTGTTCCGTTTTGAGTTAATATTTATATAAGGTATGAGGTTTAAGCTGATACTCAGTTTTTGCTATGCATGTCCAATTGCTCCAGCACCATTTACTGAAAAGGCTATCCCTTTTCCACTGAATTGCTTTTGCACCTTTGTCAAATTCAGTTAAGAATATTTGGTTGTGTCTATTTCTGGGTTCTCTATTTGGTTTAATTAATCTATATATGTCTATCCCTCCATCAGTATCACATAATCTTGATTACTGTAGATATGTAATAATCTTGCTTATTATATATCTCCAGTAATCAGGTAAGGCTGATTCTTGCAACTTTATTCTTCTTGTTCAAAATCGTTTTCACTATTTTGATTCCTTTGCCTTTCCATATAAAGTTTACAATAATTCTATCTATACCTACAAAAAATCTTGCTGGGATTTTGATAAAAATTGTGTTAAACTAGTATATTAATTTGAGAAAGACTGTCATCTTTACTATGTTGACTCTCCTAATCCATAAACATGGTATATCTACATTTACTTTATTTTTGAAATTTCTCTTATCAGTGTTTTGTAGTTTGTAGCATACAAAACATGGACATGTTTTGTCAGATTTGTACCTTAGTCCATCCTCAGTACTTGTGGATTCCATATTTACAAATTTGCCTTCCAAATCAATTTTCATGTCATTTTTGAGATCTTTCACAGGCAACTGCAGAGTGGTGAAACAGTTGAGTCACCTGACATACACATTCCCAACCAAAGTTGAACAAAGCAATGGTCTGCCCTGTTTCAATTCTCAACGTAAACACGTGTGCTCTTCAGGGTCTATTTAGTGCCATATTTCCACATATTTGTGCTTTTTGTTGTTGATTTCTCTATTCAAACTGGACCCTAAGCACATTACTGAAGTACCATTTGGTGTTCCTTAACACAACACTGTGATGTGATGTGCCTTATGGAGAGAATAAGCTTTAGATAAGCTTCCTTCAGGCAGTCTTTAATCTTTGATTCTGAGAGTTTTTATCATAAATGAGTAGGAATTTCATCAAATGCTGCTTCTTCTTCACTGATTGATATGAACATGGTGGATTATAATGATTTATTACCTAATATTGAATCAGTCTTGCATATGTGGTATAAGCCCCACTTGGACATAGTGTGTTATTGTTTTTATATATTGCCAAACTCTATTTGCTAATATTTTGTTAATAATTTTTACACCTCTATTCACAAAGGATATTGAGCTGTAGTTATTTTATTTAACTGTCTTGTGCTATGAGGATAACACTAACTCATGGTATCAGGATAATACAAGCTCCCAATATGAATGAATTGGAAAGTGTTCTTTCCTCAAGAAATTATATAAAATTGGTGTCAATTCTTTAAAAGTTTCATAAAATTCTCCAATGAAACCATCTGGGTTTGGAGATTTAATTTTTTAGAAGTTTTACATTATGAAGTCCACTCTCTTATTAGTTAAAAC